GGAAACCCGCCTCGAGTTGCTATTCCAACGGCTCCGCGACAATAACTTGGCATTACAACCGGATAAGGCAGATTTTCTGAAAAACGAAGTAACCTATTTAGGCCACATTATTTCATCCGAAGGAATCAAACCAAATCCAGAAAAAATTCGGGCGGTAGAAAGTTTCCCGACTCCGACTTCGCGCAAATCACTTAAACAGTTCTTAGGATTAGTAAACTACTATCGGCGATTTATCCCGGACTTATCGCGACAGGCCAGACCGTTGACCGAACTAACCAGTCCTAAGAAACCTTTCACATGGACCGAAATCCACCAGCAAAGTTTCGAAGACCTACGACAAGTACTCTGCAAAGAACCGGTCCTACGCTACCCAAATTTCGACGAACCCTTCATAATCACCACAGACGCATCCGATATCGCGGTTGGCGCCGTCCTAAGCCAAGGAAAAATAGGCGAAGACCCGCCGATCGCCTACGCCTCTCTAGCGCTCACTTCAGCTCAACAGAACTATTTCACCACAGAGAAGGAATGTCTCGCGATTATTTTTGCGGTTAAACACTTTCGAACATATATATACGGTAGAAAATTTACGCTTGTAACCGACCACAGGCCTTTACAATGGCTGTTCTCGATCAAAGACCCAGTATCACGTCTGGTGCGCTGGAGAATACACTTGGAGGATTATAACTACGAAATTATATATAAACCAGGACGCGTGAACGCGAACGCAGATGCCCGATCCAGAAATCCGGTACCTTATGCGCTACCGCTAACTCCATCAGATCAGAATGATCCCGCACAGGACGCTATCGCCAACCGGGTACGAACTCGCCATGCCGGCCAATCCAGGCCCAATTACGAAGAACCTCCATCAATGATACTAGATGAAGCTCTCGCACCAGATGCTAATTCCACCACATTGGAAAACATCGACCTGACAACTCGCAACCTCCCTACCATCGCAACCAGCACGCCGATTGTCCGGAAACGCGTATCTTGGGGTTCACCGCTATCTACACTGGAGCCCGCACGCGAACCCTCTTCCCCCGCGAATGAAGATGAGCCCGAACCCATCGCACAGCTCACGGACGATTCTCAAACACACGCCGTAAGCCCACCAAAACGCGTCTCCTGGGACTTACCATGTCCATCAGAAATATTACCAATACCACAATCAACAATGAATATTCCGGACCACACTCCTGCCAAACCATCTAACGAAAGATTCTATGTACCAACCGCGCCAACCATAGACGACCCATTGCAAGGAAGACCCAAGAATTGTTCAATAATCATATCAAAATCCCCTCTCACCGCCGGTCCAGGAAATATCGCACACTTCATCCCTGCCGACAAAATTCTAACAAGCCCAACCTGCAAAACATTGAAAGCATTGGGCCTACTATCAGAAACAAGTTTATTAAGCGAAGATTTGACCGAGGGTCGAGTAATAGTTACAAAAACGGAGGACAGACGACTCTTTAGCATTGTAGGAGCAAGACATTTCTTCCACGCGATCGAACCACATCAATTGCCTTACCTACTACACGCATTGAAACTCAGCGCTAAAATAGAAGATATAGATAACCTACGCATTCCGGCAAATGGGGAAACCCTACTTCAAATTAGCATACCAGCGCTCCAACGGCATTTATCTGATGTATTCCACGACTTTCCCATAACCATCACAATCTGCACAGGCGAAGTACAGACTCCACCAGAGAACCAACGCGAAGATATTATTCGTCATTACCACGAGAGCCTGATAGGAGGTCACAAGGGAGTGACCAAAACCTACCGCCGCATTCGTGATCGATTCGAATGGCCAAAAATGCACCGAAACATAGAGGATTATATACGTTCTTGCAAAAGCTGCCAGGAGCAGAAACTAGTAAGAATAAAAACTCGTGAACCAATGCTTATTACCGATACTCCGGCAAAACCATTCGACAAAATAGCACTCGACACCGTTGGACCTTTACCGATATCATCGAGCGGAAATCGCCATATCCTCACATTACAATGCCAACTATCAAAATTCTGCATGGCCATCCCGTTACCAGACATCCGCGCGAAAACGGTAGTAGACGCCTTCTCACGTTACTTCATCGCGGTGTTCGGCGCGTCACGTGCAATACTCACGGATCGCGGAACGTCATTCATTAATCAAGTTCTGAAAGGAATAGCCAAAACCTTTAATATCGAACATGTTACTACATCCGGTTACAGGCCGCAGACGAATGGGTCCTTGGAGCGTAGCCATCACGTACTTATCGAATACCTAAAGCATTTCATAGAAAACAAACACGACTGGGATATTCTCCTTCCATTCGCGACATATTCATACAATACTTCGATACACGAAGCAACAAACTTCTCGCCATACGAGGTAGTTTTCGGTCAATTAGCTAGGGATCCGTTTACACATATGTCTCAGGACGAGCTCGCAACCTATCCTACATACGTACAAAACCTCGTCCAACGCCTCGACGAAATTCGCCTACTAGCAAGAAACAACCTCGATCAAAGCAAAGCGCGTTCCAAAGCACAATACGACAAAACAAGCAAAGAAGTACAATTTTCCCCGAACGAACTAGTATACGTATTAAAAGAACCGCGCACAAGTAAATTCGATCCGCACTATATCGGGCCATACACCGTTTGCGAAATTACAGACAATAACAATGCGATCCTCATAGATGCTAACGGAAAAAAATTCGCCAAACACTTAAATAAACTGAAACACGCGTATCTGGGGAACGCAATTAAAACCCAAGACTCCGATTTTTCTCTTCTCGATACCGATCCCCCTTGAAACAGAGGTCAACAAATTTGAGGAATCCAGTAATTATTTTGCAGCAGCAACTAATAGGGCAAGCTGTGTCATCATGGATACCAGGCACCTACTGCTAAGCATCGTCTTGGTTCAGTTCGCAATAGCGAACCGCATCGAAGGCGACTACTCCGTTACCCCTCTAAGACACAACCCAGGGCTGTATTCCGAGAAGCTAGCCCCAATCCGCACGTATCGGACAACGTGGAGACTAGTAACAGCCTTGGACGTAACAGAGATCCTGACCAACTGCCCAGAAACAGCTTTCGCGATAAACAGAATGAAAACAATGTGCGCCTCCCAAAATCTAACAACATGCCCCGCGGACGCCCTGAAGGACGAACTAGATAGAAAATTAGCAGAAGCACTACGCTACGAAAATTTGCTAGCGCATGCACTCGGAAAGAATGCAGTGAGAGAGAAACGGGCTCCACTCGGATTTATCGGCTCAATCAGCAAAACGCTATTCGGAACGCTTGACGAAAGCGACGCGGAATATTATAATCACGAAATCGATAAAATTTATAGCGATCAAAAACAAATAACCTCTCTAATTCACAACCAAACGCACATAATCAGATCCGAATTCCGAAAGGCTTACGACACATTAAACATCTTGTCGGTAACAACAATGAATGCGAGAATCGAACATATGTTATCTAAAGTATCAGCAATCAGTAAACGCGAAGATCAGTTAGAACTAGAACTGGCCATGTCTTCCTGGGGAACCCGACTAATCCGACAGACAGACGAATACGTACTAATGTTGACTACCCTGACCGACGCGATAATGTTTGCAAAACTAGGAATCCTACATCCAATAATCCTATCACCAGATCAACTCATCACAGCTTGCCATAGTATACAAATTTCCACAAATCTGGAGTTCCCGCTCTCCATCGACGAGTTGAGATCGGAGCAACTCCAAGGGACAACGACCATGAGCGCCGTATACGCAAAAGGAAGAGTGATCATCACGATGGACTTTCCTCTCCTAGAAACCCATTCGAACTGTACCACCTATATCCTTGCCCGGTATTCCAGCAGCTCACCACAAACTCCTCGGCACCCCTAATTATCCAACCCCAAACCGAATTCTTAGCAATAGACCAGAGAACCTCGTCCTTTTTCCTTCCTGATAAAAATTACCTCAAAACCTGTAAAAACCCTAACGGAAGACTCCTTTGCGAAATTACCCTCCCACTCCTAAACTACGAGCAAAGCCACATCTGTGAAATCGACCTCATCCTGCGTCCAGAACACCTCCAGTGGAAACGATGCAACGTAAAAGCAGCCTCACCAAACAACATCCAAATTACTAAACTGGAAGCCCCCAATACTTGGTTATTCGCAACGGAAAATAAAGAGGCACTCCAAATAAAATGCAACAAAAGATCAGCTGGGTACGAACAACTCCAGGGTGCAGGAATTTTGCAACTACAGAGCCACTGCGAAGCAACCATTGGCCACACGAAGATAATCGCATCTGGAATCAAAACCCAACAACTCAATCACACCTTCAAACCCAACCTCAGCCTTAACATATCAAATCTCATTCAAGATCTAACCCCGCATCATATCCAAATCCTGACAAAGCTCCAGCAAAATCAACCAAAATTCACACCCATGAAAATGGACACAGACAACCTCCTAACTCTACAAGACATAGACGAACAAGCACAGGACCTAGCGCACCACCATCGCGCCCAGACACACACCGCATACGTCACTTATAGCTCACTATCAGCCATAAGCATAATCATCTTGGCAATGATAATAACAGCAGGATACAGATACTGTAGAAACCAAACTAAGAGAAAGCCCCAACCGCAACCACAACGAAAGAGATTCACGAGAGCCGACATAGAAGTACAACTACAACCGACCACAAATCCAACGACATGGCCCTCAGACATACAGATAATAGAACTACCTAATACGCAATCACGCCAACAAGGAACTACGAACAACGGCTTCCAGTCCAAAGAAATTACCATTTATTAAAAAAAAAAAAAAAAAAAAAAAAAAAATACTGAGGATAACACCAATAATAATAAGGAGAAGAGGCTCAGAAAACACAAAATTAAACGACATATATTAGGGGAAAATGTGTATATATTTCAACATGAAGAAACAGCTCCACAGTTACAGCGCCTCTTTAAATATCGGGGCAATATCTAGGACGCCACCCTCGTCCCATTCCCACAGCTCGGCCAGGTACCGACGAAATTCCCTCCGCCACTGTCTGACGGCCTCTTGGTACCGAACGTTGACCTGCCTGGGGTAAAAGACGTAGACCCCACTGGCGCGCTAAAACAGCATATAAAAAGAGTTGAAGAAAAAAAAAAAAACCACTTACCCAGGCACAGAACACGTCACGATGACAAACACACAAGCTGTCCATTTTTTCTCTCCGACTCTTTCCACCTATAACAAAATCGGTCGTAATCAACGAAAATTTCTCTTCAAAGTAAGGACACTACTTGATCAACCGGTATATATATACCACGAAAACCCCTCCAAGCCCAACGGGAGCATGGTAACGATTAGTCCTACATCGACAATTTTTCCAATAGCTGTCGCGGAATGCCCAATTCAGCGTATCGATAAACACCGCGCTTCAAGCCATTCCTTTTATGGACATGCGCATATTTTGTCTCGGCATTCATTTGAAAATTATCGACTGTCCAGCGTGGGGGGGGGGGGGGGGGGGGGGGGGGTGCCCTGTGGCCACTTCCCGCAAAAGCTTTCCACTATATATATATAAACAACAACACAAAACTGCACCTCTTCCGACACCATACACATATAGTTCTATTCTTTGTATTTACAACAGCTGCGTATCATTGTACACTCTTCGGCACCTTTTACTTTTATATTTTATATTTACTTTTATATTTTAAACAGCTATCCTCATTGTAAAAAATTTTTTTTTTTGTACTCTCTTGTTACGTGGCCGACGAGTTGGCAGCGCGCGTGGCTATCAGAGGCTTTCTGATTGGCGGCCGCGTAACTTATTTTATTATCAATACAACCCGAGCGGTAAGATTGTATTGTGGTAGGAACTGTCACAAGGTTTCACTGGGTTTAAAGGAGAATGCTAATGTGGGTTTGACACAGCAATGTATATATTCTACAATCTTGGTCTATTACAGATGTTGTTGTCGCGAATATAGGTGTATAATGTGATATATTACCTATTTCCACTATGCTCGGTGTTCACGCACTGGCAATGCGGGGGTGTTGTGTGTGGTTGATTGTAATGCCAAATAGAAACACGACTCGCGGATTCTATAAGGTGAATGTTGCTCGAAGGGGACTTCAACCCGATCTCACTAAATAGTAACCAACTCACTACCGTACACGTCGTGCTCGACACGAGATGAACTCTGGTACTGCCCCCGATCGTTGGTACGAACGGGTTTATATACTAATTAAGAAGGGTGGTCTGGTTACTATTCGAGTGATCAGGCTGGGTCCACCTGCCTCTGCGACAGTTTAGAGTGGTTGCATCTGCTATTTGATTACGGCGGACCCATTGCTTTCCCAAGTGTTTGGTTCTGCTATCGGTGGGCCTTCTGTTTATTACGAGAGTAAATGGTCGGTTTGCCCGAGAGTTTTCCTTTCCAGATGTTTAAGCTTATTTGAAAGGAGACACGTTTGATAAAAACGGTCTGTCTACGTGACACCTCCCCCCTTAGATGAAACATCGCGGTAATCGTGATGCTTTCAATTGGAAAGGAAAACACTCACTAGAATGTGTTGAAGTTTTGGTGTTGTAATGCAATATGTCGGGTGTTATGTGTGATGTGTGTGTACTTATCGCTACGTGTGATGGTTGGTGATGCTGCTAACTGCGGTATGAAGTCGAAGCGTACGTCTGGGTCCAGGCTGCCTCGATCGGATTTGTCTCTCGGTGTACCAGGTTGGTACTATTGCAGGCGGTGGTATGGGTTGGTTTGCTCTTTGGTATTCCATTTCCATGATGATGGCGGCAATACACTCCTCGCAGTGGTAGGCGGCCTGCAACTCCATCAGGGGCGCGCTGCAAATATCGCAGGCCCCAGGCGGATATGCCGTTGGTAGTGGATAGTGTACCTCCACCATGTCATAGATCCTTGCTGCTCCAAGGGCTGCTTCGAGAGCACACTGCATACAGACAATGCCAACGTCTAATCTGTAGCAAGTGCTGCGCATGCACAGGCGGGCCGTCAAGTTCATCAGCAGCTCGATGCGACTGGTGTCCCTCTCAGTTGGTTGTTCATATCTGTTACATTAATGATCTCATATGGCCCTACATAATGTGGATCAAATTTACTAATTCGTGGTTCTAGCAATGCATAAGCATAATCGCCTACATTGAATTCTACCGGTCGGGAATGTTTATCATAGTACTTCTTCGAACGGTGCTTGGAGGCAATCAAATTATCGGCTGCTATGTTGCGGATTTTTATAGTATGAGTTATTAATTCTGTTAAATAGTCGCCATATGATTTTAACCTTTCGCCAGTTGGAAACGAACTTGGTTCACGGGCTGGTTTTCCAAATATTAATTCATATGGAGAGAAATTTGTTGCTTCATGTACGGAAGTATTATAAGAAAACATGGCAAATGGTATTAGTAGGTCCCAATCTTCATAATTATCCATGTAATGTTTAAGATATTCTGTTAGTACTATATGACTTCGTTCTAGTGATCCATTAGTTTGTGGTCTGTATCCAGAAGTTGTGATTTGTTTGATTTTGAATATTTCTGAAAGATTTTTCATTAAGCTTCCGATAAAACTAGTTCCCTTGTCTGTTAATATTGCTCGTGGTGTTCCATATATGGCAATAAAATGTCTCGCGAAAGCGTCTGCTATTGTGGCTGCTCTAATGTTTGGTATTGCTACTGCTATACAATATTTCGTTAAACAATCTTGCATTGTGAGAATGTATTTATTTCCGCTAGGCGTTAAAGGTAAAGGTCCTACAGTGTCTAAAGCAACTTTATCAAATGGTTCTATCGGGGTATCGGTAATTAACATTGGTTGACGAGTTTTTGCTCTAACTAATTTCTCTTCTTGACAGCTTGGACATTTCCTGATATAATTTCGTATTTCGTTGTGCATTTCTGGCCATTGATATTTCGCTCTGATGCGTTTATATGTTTTTGTGACTCCTTTATGTCCTCCTATCAAACTGTCGTGAGCTTCGCGAATTATTTGTAATCGATCTTCTTCTGATGGTGTAATCGTTGAACAATTGCATATGATGATTTTCTGTGTTGTACCGTTGAAAACGTCCTTTATTAATTTAGTTAATTCATTGGTTGGTAATTTATGAAAATCTCCGACTGCTGATATTCTAAATGATTTAATTGGATTTTGATCTAAATGCTGTTTCAGTGTTTGTAGTCCGTTTAGTATATCTTCACTTTTAATGGTGTCGTAAAAATTATCTGATATTATTATACTGTAAACTTTGTATGAGCCATTTGCTGATTCTATTACGTCTCCTTTCTGCGGTTTCTTTGACATGAGCTGTTGTAAATCTATTGCTTCTGTGTCCAGTAACAGTTTTCCAATGGGGGTTACCAATTTACAGTCCGCAGGTATGAAATGTGCGTAATGACCTTCCTCGGTGGTCAGGGTGTTTGGAGAGATAATAACCTCAAGTGTCTGTGAAGGTTGCACTTTTCTTCGCAGGTCATCTCCCTCCGTGGAAAGAGTGCCTGTGTCAAGAAGTGTGAACGGATAAGGGTCAACGGTACGGTCAAAGTTTTCCTGTGGTTGCTGGATTGCCGTTCTTATTGTTTCGTTAACAGGTTGTGGTTGTAAAATTCCCTCATTTGTTACAAGTGATAATGGTGTATGGTTAAGTAAATCCTGTTGCGGGTTTGCGATTATCGTGTTTTCCGTAATGGTATTTTCTGATGGTTCTTCGAATGAAATCAAGTTTACGTCTTCTTCTGTCGATGTGATTTTAGTAGAATTTGTTTGCGGATGAAAGTTTATTGTTTCCATGTGTTCATCTGGCATACTTATCTCGTGCGATAAGTTAGGTAAGACTCTCGGTCTATCTGCTATTGGAGAATGTTGAACCTTCCCACGGGCTGGTTCTTCATCAGAGCTAGTGTTTTCCTCTTGATATTTCGGTCTCCTTTCCCTGTCCCTTTGTAGTTGCCGCACACGAAATCCTATGGAATCCGTGTCGATTTCTGGTTTCTGTCCTATGTGCTTGTAATCGGGGTCTTGAGGATCTCGGGGTATAAGTGGTAAGCAAGATGGTACTGGGTTACGTGATAATGCGTCTGCGTTCTTGTTCGTCTTTCCTGCTTTATGGATAACCTGATATTCGTACTCTAAGAGTCTGAGTCTCCACTTCATAAGTCGTGATGTCGGATCCTTGACAGAGTGTAACCAGACTAACGGTCGGTGATCTGTGACGAGTGTGAATTTTGTTCCATAAAGATACGGTCTGAAATATTGTACTGCGTAAACCATTGCAAGACATTCCTTTTCTGTAGCAGAATAATTCCTTTCGGCTTTATTTAAGGTACGAGATGCGTAGGCAATTGGTAGATCGTTTCCTATTTCTCCTTGACTAAGTACAGCTCCAATTGCGTAATCTGATGCGTCAGTGGTAACAATGAATGGTCGATTAAAATCCGGATATTGTAAAATTGGTTGTGTACAGAGTTCGTCGCGTAAATTTTCAAAACTTTTTTGCTGGTCTTCGGTCCACTTAAAACGAATTCCTTTACCTAATAATTGAACTAATGGTTTTGATTTAATAGAATAATCTTTTATGAAACGGCGATAATATCCTGTCAGTCCCAAGAACTGCTGGACATTTTTCTGTGTTTTAGGAATGGGAAATTCTTTTACAGCTTGTAATTTACGAGGATCTGGCTTAACACCATTTTCTGTTAAAATGTGTCCTAAATAAGTAACCTCCTTACGTAAGAATTCGCATTTATCAATCTGCAGTGTAAGTCCAAATTCTCTGAGCCGATTGAGTAATTTTTTTACTTTTATTTCATGTTCTCGTAGTGATGAAGAGAAAACAACCATATCGTCTATGAATACATGAGCGTTCTCTAGACCAGATATAACTTGATTCATCAAGCGTTGAAATGTCGGTGGTGCATTTTTTAAACCAAATGGCATGCGTACAAATTCAAAATGCCCATCCGGTGTTGTGAATGCTGTTTTCGGACAATCCTTAGGATCCATTTGAACTTGATGAAATCCATTTGCTATATCAAAAATTGTGAAATATTTTGCTCCTCCCAATTTATCTAGAATTTCGGTGATATTCGGCAAAGGAAATTTATCACTCAAAGTCTTTTCGTTTAAGGCTCGGAAATCGATTACCATACGCCAACGCTTATTGCCCTTAGCGTCTGGTTTCTTTGGTACAATCCATAACGGAGAATTATATGG